ATAGAGTAAAGAGGATGCTGAGCAAGACGGAGTACTGGTAGGGGAGGGGGTCGCATCAAAAGAGGGACTTCCGTGCGGGGGGGTCGTAATTTGCAAAAATTTTCCTAGGTGCAGAAAAGGCTTACGCACAACTCTAGAGCTGTGCTACAGCAATGACGCGACTGTCTACTTCAAGCATCTTCAAAAGAAGGGCGACGACTCGAAATAACTCAAGAGGTCCAATTCGTTCATATTCCGTGATAGCACCAAGATCACCTTTGGCGAAGAAGACATTTAGAAAATTAAAGGTCTCGGCTACTAAGTGTATATGACCCCTCCCTGCTTATGAGACCGCGTAGCTTCTGACTACCATTTATTCAGCCCCCTGTTTCATCCTTTCGGTGAAGAAAAAAAAATTGACTCGGCACTCGACATCAGCTGGAAAGATCGACTACTTCTTTGCATCGCAGTTCCCGCAATTCTAGAAGAATGGGATCAAGATGCTGCCCGAAAGATAAGGATTTGTCCTAGTCATCAAAGATGATAATTATGTAGATCTTCACCAGCAAAAATATTCAGCTTAAAACTCAGTCCGAAGTGTTGCAGGACTTTCCATCCAGCCTGTCAGATATAATGGTACTTACTAAGAGATCCTTTTTCGACAATAGATCTTATTGTAGATGTTTTTGACATCGCGGATAGAAGCCCCTCTGGACGTGGTGGCACTTTTCAAACTTTTTTGGAAGGACTTATCGAGAATGACATCACAGAAACGCTGGTAGGCATGACCTCTGAGAATCTGCGGTTCTTGTAGTACACGTTTCGAAGAAACATGAGCACAACTCGTGTGAACTCCAGTGACTCCTTCCTAAAACAGAAGATTGTGAAATGCCTAATGATGGTCGGAAAAAAATTGATGGGACCTACCATGGTCCACGTGTGAACCCCTCTGATGTGCATCAAGCACGTGTTGAAGAACGAAGGAATATCCAGACCAGTTTTGCTTCCTACTTCAATCGCATTTCTCAGGTGCTTTTTGACATACTTTATCCATGCACTAATAGGACCACAACCTTGCTCCTTGGCCACCTACAGAATAGTACGCTATCGATTGAGGAACTACATACACACAAAAGCTGCAGCAAAGGACGTCATTATAATGATAAAGATGTGCGTACATCGAACAGAGCTCGAACCCGCCCATTAAGGAGCATGCTTTGGAAGAGCAGTGTCGCAGACAAAAATTCTTAATTCGGTCCCAGAGCAGCGAAGAATTTATTGGACGTGCAATAGCACATAGAACATAAAACAGGACAATCTAAATGTTAAAAAAACAACACAAAAAACATAGAAAAAACCAGCTCAGATAAAAACCGATTATGTGCTTCTACGCTCACATATGCAGACAGTAACTACAACTCTTCAAATGAAATCACCGACCCGCCTCTTGAAAGTAGCATACTTCAAAGGGAACACATTCGAACGTAAGAGCGAATTGAAGTTGGTACAAGTTCTATTACTAAAAAACCTTGACCTGTACTGAGTCCTAGCAAACGTGGCACTAAGTCTGATACTAACTCCCTCTTGTATTAGTAGACAGTACTTGGAAAAACTGTTCAACGTCCAATTTCACTAAGCCATTTAATATTTTGTAAGCCATCAGTAAATCATATCTCTTCCTCTCTCCACTCGAGAGATTTAAGCCCGTACGTCGTATTCCTAACAAAACCTCTAGGTATATCTAAGTAGTTTAAGCCCGTACATCTAAACAAGGGAAGGATACCAACTCGTCCTGGCCATTCAGAATGAGATGTATACTCCTAGAAGCGTCTTCGGACGCTGATATCAGATCTGACTTCCAAATCTGCTAAACGATTCTGGGTGGAGAGTTACGGACCTTTTTTGCTACCGTGCTTAACCATTGCGGTGCGACCCCCTGCCCATGCTTTGCTCGTAAACCCCTCGTGACCCAGCTGCCGCCGTGGCTCGATGGCGCAGCAGCTTGGTCCCTGTGTGCGTGTAAACAGGCCGTGTGATGGCTTCATAGTTTTGTGGAGACGGAGTTCGAATCCTGCATGGCATCGGCGCAGTTTGTTGTCTTGAAACGCATGCTAAACACTTGGGAAGTAGTTTTGCATACCTGTCCGACCACCACGACCCCTCCCTGCTACTTATTGAGCCCCGCGAACGACTTTCGTGGAAACTTACACTTTTGCCTAACTAGCTCAAGCAAGGGACCAAATACACATGCATATCTGCTTGGAGCTCGTGAACTGTTCATCATCCTATAGGATGACAACGTGTGTGGCCAACGAAAGAATTCGTCATCTCTGGTAGCTCTCTTCACTCACGCCCACAATATCAGCCAACATCTTTGCGACCTGTCCACCATAGTTGGAAATGTTCTGCCGGACTCTGGTGCTATCACACCTAGTGAAAGAATTCGGGTCTCTGCGATTATTTGTTTGACTAGTCCGCAAATAGAAAAAAAGACATGCAGATTTACTATCCTATGTGCGCGCGACGCACTGTACTACAACCGTATAATCGACTGCGAGGGAGATAGCTTCGTGGAGGACGAACATACGGATCCTTTCTGGGCATCTGAAGATAACGATGAATCCCTTCAGAGCATCTAGATTTGAACAATTTCTTTCTTAATCCTGGTATTCAGCAGGTGACCTTGACACTAATCCAGACGAGTTCGAGAGTTCTCTCCAATATTGCATTACATATCATCTGGAGGGAATCTGTGAGAATAATGGTTGCAGCGAAATTCTTTTTATTCGCAGCTCACACTGTGAAGAACTTTTTTGCTCTAACCATTTTGTATTGGGATATCACACTGTGCTCGCTTAAAGGCACAACCTGCGATAAATCGCAATCACAGATAGTGCATTAGGCGTGTTCGCACGAGAATGTGCTGTGTAACTCGGTAATGAAAAAAAGGCAGAAAAACTCGTCACCCGCCTTACAATTAGATAGAACCCCATTTCAAGCCACTTTGTACGTGCCCAGTGAGCTCCATCTCCTACACTACGCCCCTCCACACAGCTTATTCACTATAAGAACTCTACGACCTTACAAGTGAGCTTACGATTTTCATGCTTTTTCGTCCTGCAGCTTCGTTTTCATTGGATGATGGGCTTTGAAGGCGGAGTCTGGAGACCGAGCCACTGATAAAGGAGAGTGTCCTCTTCTGCGAGCCTATAGTTCGCTATAGCACCCCCCCCCCTAACAATTTTTTCCGCCGGAAACACGGGGTTGTTCCTTGCGGACCACTACCCTCGCGACACCATATTTCCAACTTTATTCCTGATCGCGGACCAAGCCTTTGATGTTTCCCGTTAAATAGGAAAATATATGCCTCGAATGAAGCTGTCACGCAATGAATGCTTTCACTGAAGTTAAAATAAAACCCCTGAAAAGTCGCACATAGGCCCTAATAAGAAGCAGGGAGGGGTCTTGGTGGTCGGACAGGTATGCAAAACTACTTCCCAAGTGTTTAGCATGCGTTTCAAGAAAAAGCAAAACTACGAAATGCATCAAGGATTGAACCTCCGTCTCACTACTATGAAGCCATCCACTTACCTGCTGCGCCATCGAGCCACGGCGGCAGCTGGGTCACGAGGGTTTACGAGCGCAAAGCATGGGCAGGGGGTCGCACCGCAATGGTTAAGCACGGTAGCAAAAAAGGTCCGTAACTCTCCACCCAGAATCGTTTAGCAGATTTGGAAGTCAGATCTGATATCAGCGTCCGAAGACGCTTCTAGGAGTATACATCTCATTCTGAATGGCCAGGACGAGTTGGTATCCTTCCTTGTAAGGCATTAGTTTACGAGTAAAGTTGTTCTGAACAGATTCCAGCGCTTGAATATCTTTTTTGGTGTAGGGGTTAAATACCGTTGTACCACATTCCAGGATAGGGCGAACGTAAAGCTTATAGGAACGTAACAAAATGCCTGGATCCTTTGTCCGTAGGGCTTTGAATAAGTTGAACGTTCTGCGCATACCTTTAACCACCAATATTTTAAAGTGCTTTCTGAAACTTAGTTTACTGTCATAGTGGAATCCGAGATCCCTAACTTCCGCCACCGTCTTCAACGCAGCTTTATCGGCAGAATACTGTAAGTATAATGGACTAAGTCGGTAAGGGACTGACAGACCAAGTGGGGAGACATATTAATAGTGGGCAGGAAGTGTTCCAGGTGGGCGGTGCTTCCCAGCAAACTTCACAATGATGATCTATACTCTCTCACTACAGAGTCGTCCACATATACACGAAAGGGATCGTACCTTCCAGCTCAGCTGATCGCGGAATGTATAATACCTTCAAACTGCAAAGGAAACCAAGTGAGATTTGAACATGCGGCAAGCTTCGGCGAGCAGAACATTTTTCCCTGTCACTTTTCATGAACACGCACCCTTCACAAGCAGTCAGGCAGCGTTCAGGCTTGTCGCGCTGCAATTGTACCAGTCCCCAGCTTCCCTTTATGTTGTTTCTTCAGGTATTCGACCCCTTCTTCAGTGTTCCTCATTCACCTGATTCCTAGCTCCTCTTTTTCACTTTGACATTGAATTTTGATGTAGTTTTTGACGTTTTGAGTTTTTGACATTTTTAACGAAGATTTGAAACGGTATATCATTATCACAGTGTCCTGTATTGAAAACTACACTAAATTTAATGTTAGAGTGAAAAAGAGGAGCTAAGAACCAAGTAGAAATGTGAAAAAAGGGTGAATACCGGAAGAAAGAACATAAAGGGAAGCTGGGGTCTGGTACAATTGCAGCGCGACAATTGAAGCGCGACAATTGCAGCGCGACAATTGCAGCGCGACAATTGCAGCGCGACAATTGAAGCGCGACAATTCTGAACGCTGCCTCACTCCTTTCGATGTGAGAGGAAGCGTAAAATCGATGCTAAACTGTCAACATTCATGGAAATAGAATTTCCATACCGAGCTCATACACTCCGCAAACTTATCGATAGAACTGCTGCCTTTTTCTTGCGAAAAATCCTCTCATGACAAACAATATTTCACCTTCCGAAGCTGCCCGTCCAGCCATCTAACCAGTTCATTTCGGTAGTAGTAGTGACGAAAACGATCGTTTCTCATCTCCATTTGGTCGAATAGAGTGTCATATTTGGTAGAGCACTGTGTCGTCAAAGAGGAAATAAACAACTTATTGTTAGATAAGTCGCTGAAGGAAGTGCCCCATCTTCGTCTGACCATCAGGTTTATCTGAAACTATTTTTCATTACCAGACTTCTCTAACAGAAAGATCACTTGAACAGAAGTTGTACGAACAACAAGAAGAGTCTATTGAGGAGCATACATGAGAATACTTAAAAAAATTCTTGCAGACAAGAGAACCTAAACATATGAACTAATGGCTAAAAAAAGAAAACAGGCACCGGTATTCGGATAAAGGGCCGATTCAGAATGTAAAACCAATTTTGTCCGCACATCACTGAAAATTGTTTCATTGACTCGTCCACAATCGCGGCATTTCTTGAATGATGTATCCACACTGAGTTGAAGTCCTTCTCCTTTCTGAATGGACAGACAATAAAGCACTTCAACAGCACTCTTCAAACAACTAAAGGGTAGTTATTGCAGTTGAACAAGTACTTTTTGTTGTTCAGACACTTTTCTAAAATGAAAAGTCTCAGTTATACATACTCAAATTGCTCTTTTCTTAAAGGTATGAGCAGGCCAAGCAAAAAATAAAGAAATACTTCGTGAGTACCTCATAGAAGAGTCGAACAGTTTTCAACCATTGCTCTTGTTGTAGACGATAAACACCAGCCATGGTTCTTTTGGTCCAATCAAACGCCTTCCAGAAGAAAGTTTGTCGGAAGAAACTCATGCTCGCTAGTTCTGCCCATCGCTGGAGCTCCTAAACAAGCTTTTCCAATCATGCAGCTGAAAAGTGTCTATTTCCTCAACTTACAACGTATCGTAGACCCGTAGTGATCGCCGCTACCGATGCGGCAACGTTTCCTTTGAAAGACTTCTCTCGATTGTGTTGCACGAAATGACGTTGGCCAACCCAATGCTTGATTTGTGGAGCACGCTGTGAGCAAGAAGGGCAGACATACCGCACAATGGCTGCTGTACCCACTGCACTCAGCCGACTTCGCTTCAACTTATTTCCACATTCCGGGCAGAATCGGAACAACCTCATCAGCATTTCTCCTTGGACAAGATAATACTTGCTGGCCACAGTTGGCTCGGTCTTTCCGATGGAGTCCAAACTCGCGCTGAATTCGTGAATAGAGTTCGCGATCTTGTTGGCAGGCTCGCTTCCACTCCTATTGCCGTTCATATATGGAGTGAGATGGCTATTGAGCTTGTTGAGCGAGCTGAGATAAGCTGCATCCGAAGAGCGCACGCACGAGGTCTTTCCATTAGTGGAATTCTTCGTGTTCTGACATTGTTCTTCCTCGAGAGCACTATTCGTTGGGGCTCCCGGCACGCGTACTGCATATACTGGTCTACCCTGAAGCAATGAGATTCTTAGAAAACTCTTTATGAAGTACATTTGTTCCCATTCCACACAGAAATACCAGAGAACGTTAATGCTATGCGTCAGCTTTTTGTGCGATGTCATTGTTTTCTGGGCAGGCTGGCAAGCCCTGGCATCTCAAAACGCTGACGTAATGTATGAACGCACTCTTACTTACCCTTTAACCAGGGCACATCATTGGTTGGGGATTTTAGTCGACTATATAGACGCCCCTCCCTACAAACCAGATTTTCTCCTCAACTTCCTGCCCTTTTTTCCAAAATTTCCCGAAAACCCCCCTACTTTTTACCAAAAATTTTGCTGTCGAGCGGGGGGGGGGGGGCATATAGTACGCATGAAACAGGAAAATCACCAAAAGTCAACCGCCACTCCCACAACGCCAAAACGTAAATACGACCCCCCCCAAAAATGATCAAATACGACCCCCTCCCTTTACAACGTCCATGAAGCGAGAAAAATCAACTATCAAAATAAATTTTTCTCAGCCCAAATACGACCCCCCCCCTATTGGGGATTTCCAACAACGATGTGCCCTGCCTTTAACTGACCATTACAATTGCCACTGGAGGCGGACCAACGTAATCTAGCACGTGAGGTCGGCCCGAGAATGTTCCCTCTTTGTAATGTCGGTACTGGCTATCCTCGACCTTTCCTAGCGACTGCACCTGAGCCTCCTCTGGACATTTGCTTTGACTGTCATCGGCTTTTCCGAGTGGCCACAACGGAGTAGCAAAGTATCGTTTAATGCAGCCGTTCACAAACTGGCAAATATCTTTCTCTGTAGCTGTACCGTCAACCTAAAAAAATCAGTTCCATACGCCAAAGTGATTATGGTAATGGTTTGTGACATACTCCTTCTCCTGACACTGAAGGATTGACAAATTGAAAAGAAATTGAGAATCGCAAAATCGGTGAAAAGGACTACATATATATGTTTTGATCTGAAGAATTGCAGAATTGACGCAATGAAGAACTGACGAAAAGGATAAGATACGTATCGATCCGTTTCCGCAATTCCTCAGCTCTGCATTTCTGCAGTTGGTCAGCCTGATGGGTATACTCTAGTTCGCTGCGGACGGTTGGGCGTGTCAGGCAGTATGAGCGCGCATGCGACAAAAAGTGTTAGAAACGAGTAATACGAACGATATGATACAGTCATATCACTTGCTCGCTTTAACAACTGGTGGAGAACGGGTTTGGCACCGCGCCAAACTCATCCCGCCTGACACGCCCAACCGTCCGCAGCGAACTACGCCACATCTAGTCCTTTTCGTCATTTCTGCATTAGTTCAGATTGCCAGTTATTCACTGTCACAAGGTATGAATACGATCTAGCTATCATCGTAATCATCTCTATTACCTTTGCTCCCACTGATAATCGGATCGCTTGAAAAAGGAAGCCACAAAAAATATTTGCGCTGTTTCAGGCGGAGGTGCGCCTCGCACATGGGTTCCCCTTAGGCAGCGTTCCACAACAATGCGCGTTGCTGCGCTGTATAGCACGCTGAGTCTGAACGCTGCCTTGCTGCCCAGATAAAGGGTAATTTTTGAGGCTGAGGAGCAGTTCGAGGCATGACCGGCCGAGTGGTGAAAACAGTGAAAAAGTCAAGAGGAAAGGTAGAATCGGTAATGTTGCGAAACACCAAAAAGCTTACATTCATGGCAATCATGAAGTTGTTCACCAATTTGACGACCTCATAAGGTATACCGTATGGTGTTACATAAGCAGCAATCCGAGGGGTTACTGGGTCTTCGAAATAAGAAATCGGCTTTCCGGATGATTCCACCTTGGTGGTTATATATTGCGCCTGAAAAACTCACACATTGAATTAAGTGTTCGTGAGAACTGATTTCTATCCGAGGTTAAGGATGAACACTACCCATCGAGCGCCCAATCAATCCTAGCCATTCCGATGACATGATCGGGACAGTTTCTGGCGAAAGAGACTCACTATAGCATCCATATAAAAATGATGGGACACATGTAGCACCGGCTATTT